ATAAGAGCAGGATTAGACAGTTCTTGCAGATACACAATTGAGCTAAGTGATGAATAACTTCAAAAATCTTCATTGAAAAAATGAGAAGAATGATATCGAACTTAGCTGAAAGGTAGAAACTGTGTAACAACTAGATAGTCATTGGCTTGCTAGGTAGTTCTTGTCGAGCTACTTGAGTCTTCGAGCTTTATTTCGTCCGAGCAGTGCTCAAGGAGCAGTGGGAGGTCATGTGTAGTACTTATGCAGGTTGTAGGTATTCCAATGCTTGTCAATCTCTTTGTCGTTCATGGTGGTGAGGGTGTAGCTACACTTGTCGCCTGCTCTTCTAACCTTGTACGAATCTTCCCAAATAGGATTCATCTTTTTGGAGCCTTCTTTTTAGGCAGTGATGAATGCTTTTCTTAGGACCAGATCTCTAGGCTGAAACTGCCAGATCTTTGCCTTTTTGTTGTAGCTGAAGATGAGTTGTTGTTGGTAGGCTGCAATGCAAGTGAAAACCTTCTCGTGTTCCTCCTCTACTAGATTTAGATTTGTGTCCATCTCCTTTCTGTTCTGCTCCAAAGTTGACAGTATGGTGTTGATGCTCGACGCAATGAAAAAATATGCAAACGCTCGTAGTCGCATCATCTACGCTTTGAGGATGGGTATATGATCGTTTGAATTTTTAAAACCATACAAACTCTAATGCATAATATTTTTAAGGGAGTTCAAAATAAACAAAATTCATAATCATTAATGTATAAGTCTGAAAGATGTCAAAGCATAATAAACGTTCATAATTGCATCCTCAACGCTTAGACGTTGGTTACATGGTTGTTTAGATTTTTAAAACCCTCCAAATCTCATAAACAATGTTTTTTACTTGAGTGCAAAATTAATAATAATTATTGTAGAAGTGTGAAAAATGTAATCACTCATAATGAAAAGCTTTACAACTTTCATAAAGGGGTCAACGCCGAAATTTAGTATGTGTATACTAATTTAGTATTATGTTTTACATTTTTTTTGGGTCAAATTATGTTTTTCATTTTCATTTTTATTGATTTAAAATATATTTTTCTTAACGAGTAATGGGTCGAGTTATATTACCTGATAATATTAACGGGTTGATTTAGGGTCGGGTCATATTGCCCGTTTATTTTAACGGGTATTACACGACATGACCCGTTAAGTTATCGGGTATGACATGAAAATGATACGAACATGAGAAACACGACCCGAATGCCAGGTCTAATACTTTTGGAAGAACTTCGCCAAGTATTTGCCCACGAATTGCGAACCGTTGTCGGTGACGATAGATTGTAGGATGCAAAATCGGCAAATAATGTTCCTTTATATGAAGCGCTCTATGTCTAATTAAGTAGTGGTGGTGGTCTTGGGCTCGGCTTATACCCACTTGGTGAAGTAGTTGGTAGCCATGATCATCATGCCCTTGCCCCTAGTCGCGGATGGCATGGGCCCTACCAAGTTGATTGCCCATTGCATGAATGGCCATGGGCTTGTCTGCGGGTGGTGCTCGCTGGCAAGCAGTGCGAGTACAGGCTTAAAGGGTTGGCAGCTATCGCACTTTTGAACAAATTCCTTAGCATCTTGATGCATGGTGGGCCAGTAGTAGCTGGCCTTGAAGACCTTCTGTGCTAAGGATTGGCTTCCTGAGTAGTTTCGATAAACTTCTTCGCGGATCGAACTTAGAACTTTCAAGTCTTCAGGAAGCGTTAGGCAATGGAGATGTGGGCCTGAAAAGAATCTTTAGACGAGAATGCCGTTCCACATGTACTAGCGTGTCACCTTTATTTGGAGCTTCCTAGCTTCTAATCTTTTTGCAGAGAATGTCTCATTGACTAGATAATCGATGATAAGGTCTTGCCAGCTTGAGGTTGTGTTGCTTGTAACACCTCGGCTGCCAGGTTCTTCTTCCATACTCAGTTTTCCTAAATACTTGAACAGGATGAAGCGTTTGAATTGGTAGTCCAAAGCGGAGCCTAAGGCTGCCAAGGCGTCTGCATGAGCGTTGTCTGCCTATGGCACCTGTGTACAAGTGTAAGTCTGAAATGCCTCAAGGTGCTTTCATACATTCTCAAGGTATAGTACCATCATTGAATGCTTTGTTACATACTCCCTAGTAGTCTGGGTAGTGATGAGCTGAGAATCAGAATGGATTACGAGCTTCTTAACTGCCAGATCTTATGCCATTCGGAGCCTACCAATAAGGCCTTATACTCTACTTCGTTGTTTAATGCCTTAAAGCCTATAGTGAATGCTTGCTCGAGCATTGAGCTGTCTACAATGATGAGAACCAAGCCTGCTCTAGAGCCCTTGTAGTTGGATGAATTGTCGACGTGCAGGCGCCAAAAGTGTTTGTCAGAAAGGGTTAGTGCGGCCAGGGTATGCCCGATTGCTTCGACGACACTTTTGGGTTATGTTGTTATGTCTTCTAAGCCGGAAGTGAAGTCTGCTATGAAGTCTGCCAAGGCTTGAGCTTTTATCGCTGTGCGGGGTTGGTAAACCAAGTCGTATTGGCCGAGTTTCATCGCCTACTTCATCACTCGTTGAGAAACGTCTAGACCATGTAGGATAGATCGTAAAGGATATTGAGTCATGACGACAACTGTTTGAGCCTAAAAGTATAGTTTAAGCTTCCGAGCTGCAACAATTAGCTCCAAAATTAACTTTTCAATCCTCGGGTATCTTGTTTCCACATTGAGAAGAGCTTTAGAAGTGTAGAATACTATTAGTTGGGCCTTCAACTCTTCTCGTATGAAGGCAAAACTTACTGCTACGTCTGAGATTGGCAAGTAAATGGATAATTCCTCGGCTCCTTCCGGCTTGGATAATAGCGGCAGTGATGTCAAGTATCTCTTCAAGTCTTGAAATGCTTTCTTGCACTTGTCGTCCCACTTATCTCTCTGGGCCTTCTTGATGACCTTGAAAAAAAGCTTACATCGATCAGTTAAGCGCGGCTGCTCGTCCGGTCAGACTTTGGATCTCCTTCAAAGTGGTTAGGGATTTTATATCCAAGATTGCTTTGACCTGGTACGATGCAACTCGATTTCTCTTTAGGTTACGAGATACCCTAAGAATCGGCCTGAGAAGACTCCAAATGTACATTTGGCAGGATTAAGCATCATCTTGTACTCCTTAAGGATACTGAATGTCTTTTCCAAGTTTCTGAGGTGGTCTGACCATTATTTTCCTTTTACCATGACATCGTCGACGTAGACTTCTATGGTAACCCCAATCTGCTTTTTGAACATCATGTTTACTAACCTTTGATAGGTAGCTCTTACGTTCTTGAGGCTAAAAGGCATAACCTTATAGCAGTAGGTGCCTCGCTTGATCACAAACACAGTTTTCTCTTTGTCGAGCTCAAACATGGCGATCTGATTGTTGCTGGAATATACATCCAAGAAGCTAAGTAGCTGGGTCCCTACGATTGAGTCCACCAATAAGTCAATTCGGGGGACCGGGAATGGATCTTTTAGGCAAGCCTTATTGAGGTCAGTGTAGTCTATGCATATTCTCTACTTTCCCTTCTCTTTCTTCATTACCAGCACAACGTTGGCTAACTATACTGAATGCGCCACTTCCTCGATGAATCTGGCTTCTAGTAGCTTGTCTATCTCTACCTCAATGATCGTTACTCCTTCTAGAACGAAGTGTCTTCCCTTCTGGATCATTGATTTAGCAACACGGTCGATATGTAGCCTATAGCAGGTTATCTTGGGATCAATGCCAGACGTGTAGGAAGGTAACCATGCAAAAGCGTCATGGTCTTTCCTAATGAAGGCTATGAGTTCTTCCTTTTCCTTTGGGCTTAGTCGTGAACCGATTCTAGCCATCTTCTCCGGCTTCCCAGGATCAAGAATCATATATTCAACGTCCTCTTCTAGCATCTATCATTTTTCTTCTTTCGGTGTGTCATCTTAAATGCCATCATCTTGATCCACCTGTTATAATTGTTATTTAGTTGTAAGATCGTCCTTTTCAACCTCAGTAGTTCCTATAGGGGTGAAAGACTTATTCTTTGACTCTTTCAACATTTGCACTGTGCATCATTAGGATGCGGCTTAGTCAAACTTAATCTCTCCAACTCCTTATTCCAAGATGTAGAATTAGATTTTCTAGTACTCAACGGAGGTTACGGAGCCTAGTTTCACTAGCCAGGGTCTTCCTAGAATCCCGTTATAGAGAGACGAGTCGCTGACTATAATGAATGTCTACTTTGAGACTACTATCAATGTTCTCACATCGAGTGTTATGTTGCCAATAACAGTTAAGGTGTATCTGTTGAATCTAGTGAGTACCTTTGCTCGGTGTATTATTGTGATTTCCAGGCCTATTTTCTGAATAATGGATAGTTGAAGTAGATTTACTATACTTCCATTGTCCACCATCACTCTGTCGACTATAGCGTGTACCAATTACACGGACATTACCAAAGCATCGTCGTGTGGGATGTCAACTCCCTTAGCATCCTGCTCGATAAAACCAACGATGGGCCCAGGTTTGGCGTCTGCTACTTGAACCTAAGAGATTGCTATAGCCTGCTGGATATTCCTCTTCTTCGAGTTGTTTGTGGCCCCTAAGTATTCGGATTTGGCGAAGATGCCGTTGATTCTGATGGTCTTGGCAGACAGTTCTTCCTCTACATCTACATTCCTCCTAAGCTACGGAGCTGGCTAGTATAAGTATCTGTTGCATTTACCCTCATTCACCAGCTTCTTTAGGTAGTCCCTCCAAGTATAGCAGGTGTTGGTCGTGTGACCAGGACCTCGGTGGAACGCATAGTACTTAGTGTGATCCAGCTTTGAGGTGTTTACTTTGGATTATCTTGGCAACTTGAACCAAGGCTCACTCTTAAGGTCATGAAGGATCTAGTTGATCAGGATCGAGAACTTAGTATAGTTCTTGGTGGCCTAACTTCCTCTTACCGGGGACCGGTCTCTACGCTTGGTCTCCTGCCTGCCTCGATCGTTGGACTGTTTCTTGTCTACGTTCTTCTAAGTTATCTCAAACTCCTTATAAGGCAGCTCAAGTGCCTTATTTGCTCGTTGGGCCTCATCCCAATGTGCATGCTTCTCTGCTAAAACGAACAAGTCTGCTAGAGTCAGGTATTCCTTCATGATCAATTCTCTGAATGGAGGATGATCTGTTAGGAGTCCCTTTTGGAAGGCTGCGCTAGCGATCGAGTCGTTGCAGTCGACTATCTTCGCCTTTTCCGCCTTGAACCTTTTGACATAGTCGTGGAGCGACTCCTTTGAATTATTCTTGATGTTGAAGAAATGATTGGACTTCTTCTTGATCGAATGGTAAGATGAGTATTCCTTAGTGAAAACTACGGAAAGTTTGTCGAAACTCCAGATAGACTATGGAGGCAGGTATGGAACCAATCTTGCACCTCACCCTACACAGTAGTGGTGAATGTCTTGCACATTAAAGCAACGTTATCTCTGTAAAAGATCATCATGCTACAGAAGTGCTTCAAGTGCCTTTCAGAGACTCCGTCTCCCTCCATCTGCTCGATCTCGTCCGTGAAAAGTGATATACCCATACGTGCCACGTCCCTATAAAAGGCCTCGTCTGTAATTTCGATGCGTTGGAATCTGCACAATCACTTAGTTAGGAGCCTCTTTACTTATTCCTAAATTTTCCTCTACTAGAGCAGTGCGGCTTCTGGCTGCCCCTGGTTTAAACCTGCTGGTCTCGGCTGCTCTTCCATATGCTCAGCTCGTCTATTCCGTAGATGAGGTGCATGTGGTACATTCCTGGCAGGTGAGTGGATTACTCGTGTGCTAAAACAAGAGTATATAAGCTATCTCGAGGGCCCAGACGGGAGTGTACACTGCCAGAATACTCGGTTTGTGGTTGGTCGAAAGGCTGCTTGTTGGGACGCCGCTAGAGAGAAACATCATCAACTGCCCTTGTCCTACTTCAAGACACCTCATATGGGCACGCTACATCTCAGTGCACTACAATAGCTGATTCACCAAGGTAGTCAACTGCGCGAGGGTGCTTCTCAGTTCGGCGACTTGTCGGCATAGGTGTTGTTCGCTATTTGGAGTGAAAGAGTTGGGACGGTAGACGTCTGCTTGAGTAATGGAAGTGTAATAGACTCCGGGTGTAAAGCTTAAGCCAGGATAGGTTAGATCTACAACAAGGTGGGGTGAAAATACCTTGGTTCAACCGTCAATCTTGAAATCAAGATTTGGCTGGTTGAATTGATCTGGGACTATACTGGACCATCTAGAGGGCTGCGGGAGTAGGTCAGGCACACGGGCACTAGGTCGCCTCAGTTGGCGTGGCTTGGGCTCCTCAGTCTGGGCAACTCGCTTCCAAGTGAAGGTGGTAGGCGCCAAAGGCTGCTGTCGAGGGCGAGCAGCTGCTTGGGTCTGCGCCTGTTGGCTACTTATGTTGTACCTGCCCTAGGGTTTACTTGCGTTGAGTGGAGGCTGCCCCGTGGGCCACTATAGCGGCAGCAACTTTTACTGGCATGGCCATGGTGCCTCGTGGTGGCAAAGGTGCAATCCTTGCCGTGGTGAGCCTTGAGGAGCGATGGTGTGGAGCCACGTTGCAATCTCCATCGATTGGTCCATCAACGTAGGGGGTCCCATTGGTTGTAGTTTCTGAATTTCCTTCTATCGTAGTCGTAGATCTACGAACGAAGGAAGTTGAAAGCGAGAGTCTTTTTCAAGTCTTTGGATCAGAGCTCTCAATGAAAGCACCAATTTGTGGATGCAAATTTCCACCGTCTCTTCCTTTGACGAAAATGCACCCGTAAAATAATAACATCTAAGATTAAGGTCAAAAGCCTCACGCACCCAGGATAAATAGGGAAGAGGGGCTTTGGTGTTTGTGGGAAGCAAAAAGCCTCTTTTGGGGTAGGTAAAGCTTACTGAATTTTGGAGATAAATGGATTTATAGGAGAAAAGGCCCTCTAGGGTTTAGGGGTGGCTGACCCTATGTGGTATTTTAGATGAGAATATTCCAATTATGTAAATAAATATCTTGAAATAATTAGGTAAATATCCTAAATAAATGGAATTAGGATAACTTACTTAAAATATGTCTTCTCTTATTAGAAATGTATTTATGATAAGAATAAGAGATTATTCTATCATAAATACCTCTGACATTTCCTACGGGCGAAGGTGCCTTGAGCAGTTGTTGATCTATGCCTGCTCTACCTTAGTTGGGCGTGGTGAATGAGACTACTCCCTGCTTATTTAATAGGGGCAATCTTGTCTTTCTTGAGAAATAATCTATGTATCAGCTCCATGATTTTTAAGATTATTTATGGCTCCACACTGGTCTTTTCCAGGTCATGCCATTTTTAGAATTCCTACAACCAAGCTTGTGTTTCGCAATGAATATCCAAGGGGTTGAAAGCTGAGCCTCTCAACAAAAAGGAGTTTCACTTTTCCAAATGCTCCAGGAAATTTGGTGAACGTCCATGGATACCTTGGGTGCTGACCCTCCGAACTTCGATGAATATTCATGGATACCTTGGGTGTTGCCCCTTTAAAGATTAGATTTGGCTTCATACATGATAAAATGTCTGAAAGAAGAGTGAATGAAATGATGATCTCAGTGAATAACAAAGCATCATCATTCTTGGACAAACATATTAATGGGATGCAATGATATTTGATGCGAAAATTACTTGACACTCAAATTAAACCCTCGTTTGACAATTGTAGTAGAATGGATAAGTGAGGGATCGTTCTAGACCGGGGATTAGGAGGGCTTGCTAAAACCTTCTAAATTGACTTAAAAACATAAAAACTCAATATAAAACACTATTTAATGCTCGAAGAAAGCAAAACTAAAAATAAGAAAGATTAAGACTAAGACTTCAACGAAATAGGGGGAATTGGATTTGGACGAATTTAAACTAAAATGGATACTTGGAAACAAAACAAATTGTAAATATGGATAGATTGCAAACAAGTGTTGTGAAATTAGATGGTTGGTGAATTAGCTAGAGGTTCTTTCTCCACACATGATATTTATGCATATGAATCAATTTCCAGTTATTCCTTCATTGAATTATGAACGACAATGCCCCAAATTAACCGTGACATCACTAGTTAACCCTCAGATTTTCCTTAAATTATTGGATTGGATGGCATCATTCGACAACCCAAAACATTCTCAAAAGTTCCCTACATGTCATCATAATAGAGATACAATCGAAGATCATTAAGAATAATGAAAACCATAAGCATTGACAAAGCACTTGCAACTATGACATCATGTTACTCATGCTAAGAATTAAACTTAACGCGATCGTGACAAGCGACCTTCACTACTTTCAAGTATAAGTTAGTAACGATTATGTGAAACCTTCTTAAACTTTAGCCACATATTCATGCATGCTAATTAAGTGTCGACCCTCAATCAACAAACACAAATAAGTTAATCATCAAATAGTTAAGCCAATTGCATTCACGAATCAAGAGTTCATAACCGGAATTCATCAATTCATATTACATAAATAATCATGGTATTGAAATCACCCCTAGCTAAAAAGGGTTTAGTTCCTCATAACTTTGAAATCAAAGAAACACCTAAACATTCCAACAACTCAAACGTGAATTGTATGAACGTTTAGGCCCTCTTATCTTCCATTCCTCATATTACAAAACAAAGAGAATTGAATTTAAACTTTGAAATCAAAGAAACGCGTAAACATTCCAACAACTCAAACGTGAATTGTATGAACGTTTAGGCCCTCTTATCTTCCTCTTTATTGTGGCACAAGAACTAAGGGATGTTGTAGGTGTGTTGAATGGATTGGGGGATTATGGAAATGGAAGAAATGGAGGAAAAATGGAAGAAAAACTCACGGCTAGGGAGAAGATGGAAGTGTTTGTGGTGTGTTGTGTATGAAATGAGATGATGAATGAATGAATGAATGCAAGGGTATTTATAGGAGTAGTGGAGGGAACATATAGGGAGAGAATGGATGGGAGAGCATGTGAATGATAGCTAGGAGAATGATTAAAGGGGTGTGAATGGTTGGAAATGCATGTGGGTGAATTGGTGGTGCAATGATGAAAGAATAAGTGCATGTGTGTGTTTTGTGTTGGAATGAATGTGGATGCATGATGAAAAGTTAATAAATAATGCATGTAGGGTTAGGAAATAAAATCATAACTTAAAGGGGGGATGATTAAAGGATGTGGCTAGGTTGGAAAGGTGTGGAAGATGGATGGAATTAGGGGGAATGCATGGCAATGATGGGGAGTTCTTTGGTGATGAATGCAATGATGAAGAGTGAATAAATAATGCATGTAGGGTTAGCTAGGTTGGCTTTGTTTGGGTGCATGTGAGTTAAAGAGGGAGAATGTGGTGAAATGATGAAGTAGGAAGGTGGAAATGCATGTGAATGCATGTGAGTGCATGTGTGTGTGAATGGGTGTTTCTTGATGGTTTTGGGGTTGTGATGCATGTGAATGCATGTGGCTAAGGCTTGTTGATTGGGCTAGAGGTTTTGCATGGCTCAAAGGATTGTTTGATTGGGCTAGGCCCTTTGTTTTATGTCCAAAGTGCATACAAGGCTTTCAAATTCGTCCAACACTTTGGCTCCAAAACTATGTTATCCATTCCAAGCCCAATTTTGCTCCAAAATGCTCCAAAATGCATCTTTTTGCTTCCTTAGCCATATGAACCTAAAAACACACGAAAATGGCTTAAACTACTAAAACAACTATGAATTAACAACATAGATGCACGAAAACAAGCTAAGTAAGTCGCCTAAATATGCTCCTATCAATATCAAACATTGTTAGTATGTTCAAGATAAGTGTGTTTCTTTGTTAAGCATTCATATGGAAGCAATCTTGGAACATGTTAGTTACTCTCACAAATGAGGCATTAACAGGTGTGCATTATACCTTTTCAAATGACTTCAGGCCTACCAAGATTAGATGAAATGGCGATATGCATGCTATTTCTGATATAAAAAAAAATTTGCGTGCTATTCTTACTGACCCCCTAATATTAGTTTTTGGATCCGCCACTGACTAGCACCTTGTTGAAACTATTCCTTGACAAAGACCCTGCTAAAGCATACCATACCAGCACTCTCCCATGTCTATCGCCCCAAATCCTAATCCGCAGCGGGCTACAGAACCAAAAGTAGCTGACCTCGGGCAAACCCTACGTACATGCTCAACTGTTTCTGCTCCCCCATCATAAAATAAACACGACGCATCCGTAATCACTTTCCGTTTTCTCAGGTTATCCCTAGTTGGTAGCGCATTCATGCAACTTCTCCAAACACACACCTTAACTTTCCCAGGCATACGGGCTCTAATCAAAGACCCACTGGGTTCATCCCCATTGACATCCCTGCAAGAACGTGCTAGGTGATATGCATTTCTCAGCAAGTGGTCTTTTACCATAGTGGTGAAAAGGTGTTAAGCCCTTGAAAGACGGCGTGGGTCCAAACCCCGTCTGTAGCTAATCTAACATCTATATAAACATTCCAAATTAAGGTATCAGACGGTTTGAAGATACTTAAAGGGATGCACATTATCAACCTAGCCTCCTCCTCGCAGAAAATGCTACTGATTACCTCCATATTCCAGGCAACACCACCATCATCCTCGATTAAGTTATTCACTGTGATAGAATATATGATCCAACCCCGCAGGGATAGGGCTAAGTACTTTGAAAAAGTTCTTCCTAGGCAACCAACTATCGCCCCAAACCTTTATATATGAGCCATACCCCACCCACCATCATGCTCTTAAACGAATAACCTTGCAAGCCTTTGCAATTCTTCTCCAACAGAGAGGGATTTGTCTTCACCAGGGCCTACCAAAAGTCAGTATTTGGATAGTATCGAGCTTTGAACAACTGAGAAGCAAGTGACTTGAGTTGTTGTATAAGTCTCCATCCTTGTTTAGTAAGCAAGGCTAGGTTGAACGCACAAAGATCTTTGAATCCTAATCTGCGCTCACTCTTGGATTTACACATTTTACGCCAACTAAGCCAATGAATCTTTCGCTTACCTTGTTCTCTTCCCCACCAAAACTGAGCTACAATTTGATTCAATTCTTCACATAGCATCATAGGTAACAAAAAAAGTTTGCATGGTACAGAGTGGCACAGCTTGAGCCACGGTTTTGATCAAAAGCTCCTTCCCTTTCCTCTAGTTGAGAGCCCTAATCAACCCGATTTGAACAGCCAGATTCCATATCATCAGTTCCGACCTCCGATTAGGTGGTCTAGTCTGGCTGACTGGCAAGTCAAATTAACCCTAAAGTTTATTCAAGGTAGAACAAAATACATAATTCACTACACCAACCAAACTTGATCTGTTTAGTAAAATTTCCCAATGAACATCATGCATGACAATAAAGACTTAAAAACCCATAATTTGTTCAAAACATCCTTACCATGCATTCATACGAGCAGAAAAAAAGGGCAAATGAAAACCGACAGTCGACCAGGAAAAAAACAAAAAAGACAGACAAGTTCATGTACATCGCCATAGCAAGCTAAGTACGACGCTGAACTAGTCTTCGAAAAAACTTGAAACTACCAACGATTTGAGATGCAACTTTTGGGGACTTAAGTTTCCAGCCGAGGTTTGATCAACAACCTTCGACCACTAGCATTATCTCTGCTACTGCTTGTCTGAAAATTTCCATTGCAGGAAACACCTCAAAAAACTGATCTGGAGCTCCCCTTGCCTGCGAAGCGACACAGTAATTAAGTATAATTGCAACATTTAATGTTGAAATGAAATTTAATCAGAGAAAAACTTCTGTGGTGCGGATGCAAACAGGTGCAGCCGTGTGCTAGGCTTCCCACAAGAATAGCACATGACCCGTAAATGGACAATTCGTCCGTCTCACCTAAGTTATTCTCAATTCAATTATTAAAGATATTTGCAGTGATATAAGCTTCACAGATCTAACTTTCTTAGCAAACTCAACAATTCATGTATGGAAATGAAATTAAAAGGAGAGACTTCTATGGACAGACAGAACTAGCCGTGGGCGTGCATCGGCTTGTCACAATAATAGCATGGGACTCATAACATTTCTGTAAATCCAAAACCAAGTTATGTGAGGGGCGGATGCGCGACGCACCCATCCTAATGAAGGTTTTTCTCAATTCAATTAATGATATATGTGTCTATGCAGTCATGTAATGAAAAATACCATATTACGACATTTCGACCTGAGCAGAACTACACAAAACAACTTTGCAATGATATATGTGTCTATGTGTCCATGCAGTCTATGCAGTCATGTAATGATATATGTGTCTATGCAGTCATGCAATGAAAATTTCCATTGCGATCAATAAGATAGGAATGAATTCAATGATATTTCGACCTGAGCAGAACTACACAAAACAACTTTGCTTCAACAATCTTCTAAATTCTCTTTAATATCATGGTGTCTCTAGCTAGTTGCTTTTTCGATGTAGTTCGTATCATGTACTGAAATTTCACACCATGTTGCGATGGAACTACTGAATGCTGCCAACTTATAACCTAATAAGGTTAATGCTAATAGGTACTATATAGTATGGTGTCTCTATAGGTATATGCACGTCTTTCTTTCATTTTAACTACTAAAATTTAGTATTTTCTTGATTTGTTACAAATTAATAAGGAGGCTTAAAGGCTAAATAGTTTGGAGGGTAAGAGTCGATCTCGTTGTAAGTGTGTGGGCATATGCTCTACCAATGGAACTACGAACCTTATGGTGAAAATTTAATTATGGTTTCTAGGTACATAATTCGCAAGAGGTCTAGCGCTGAGGAAAACTTGCTTACTCCGCTCATAGGCGTAACCAGCTGGTTTTTGTACAAGGCCGGATCTCATCCCATTTTATGTAATTTCCTCTTTTTTAATTATTACATTTTTTAATGGAATCCTAATCCAACACAACTATCATGCTAACCCATCTTCATCCAATCTCACTCCATCCCACGCTAAGAACCTAGTTCCGCCACTGATCTCCTATAGAATACATTTGCTTCTCACGTGACGCAAGAGGCGACTCAAACAGTGTACACAATGGGTTCAGTCATTTTTGGCTGGAACAAAGTCATGCAAAAATTTTCAATAGCACTTTAATTAAATTTCTGCAAATGTAGACATTTTGCTTATATATTAACTAGCATTATAGAGTAGCACAATCATAATGAAATAGAATTTAACTACTTACGTGAGTATGAATCATGTACATGCTACGATTGGAGTCCGAGGTAATATGAGCTGATATCACACCAATGTTATATTTCTCCAAAAGGAAGCATATAGCGGTAAAGAGACTGGGCTTCTTTGGAGTGCACACACTAATATGTGCTTCTTCGCCGCAGATGTTGGCTACGACATTGGGTGAAGTCCAAGTTTGAAAGTTTATAGAAGCAAAATGCGAGGCTGAGAATGAATTGGATGGGTTGCTTGTTGGGGTAGTACTAGCAGTGGCCAAGTTACTGGACCCATGATTAGCAAGGAATGCCTCTCTCGAACTGAATGCGACATCTTGTGTGTTAATTGATGGGTCTAGGTCCAGATTGATGGTTGTGACACCTTGGAGCCTTTCCACCTTTTGTTTTTGTAGCTTTTGGAGAGTCTGCTGTAGGGTTTTGACGTAGCTCACTGCCTCATCTACGATGGTGGATTTGTCAGCCTGTAATAATATATATGTAATCAGAGATTATTAGTTGTCTATATAAAAACAAAAAGAAGAAAGTAGATCTATAGTTGTTCTTGCTCTTCAGATCTATACTTTTCCAAATCCTAAAAAATTAGATGCCCTAAAGTAATCATATGAAATTAGCGAATTGGTGTATCTAGCTAAGAACTCACACTGTCTGAGGTTAATTAGCGTGTGCCCAAACATTTAATTTGAATTGTATGTTTCAGAATTCAGCTAGATGGGTTGTATATATCTACCGACTCCATCTTTGGTTAGATCTTAATTTGATATATGTCATGGCTGACAAACCCTTACCTTTCCAGAGAAACCCCTCTTTTTTTTTGTTTTGACATGAAAGTTATATCAAACATATAGTTCAACAAAATGAGTAATTAAAACATGTTCAATTCTCCTCAAAAGCTATGGAAGAAGGAGAGAAAGGGAGAAACACAGAAAGGAATAAAAAAGAAGGAAAGCTTTTCTCATTAACTGCCCATTATATGCAAAAAGGCCAACCAAAGCTTTGATTCATCTAAAGAGAGACGCAAGTAGAAAGGCTAGTCTCTTTTTAAGAGAGAGAGAGAGAGAGAGAGAGAGAGAGAGAGAGAGAGAGAGGCCTAAGACATGCAAAGGAACAAGGCTCAGTGGTAACCCTTAATCAATTTTAAATGGTTAATTGTATTACCTTAGCTGGAAGCTGAGGAAGCAAAGCATGAAGGTTAGCAAACATGTTCCTCATCTTCTTCCTCCTTTCTCTCTCTGTCAATATATGCATCTCATGGTCATCTGACTCATTTCCCCCTGCAACACCTTTTCCTTTATCACCAGTTCTAGTACTCCCCTTCCCCTTCGCCTTCACATTCTTGCCCACACCTCCTCCTCCTCCTTTCCGCTTCTTCCCCGCTGCAGGTGGCGGCGGCGGCACTGCCTTTTCCTGATTATGACCTTCTGCACTAATTTCCATCACAGCTGTCTCCTGCTCCTTCCCCAAATTTTTCTCTTCATCACCACCACCACCTGAGTTGTCAGAAATAAAATACAAATTAGCCCATGACTGGTTTTCCCATAACAGACCCTCAGTGAACCCTCCTGCTTCCCCTTCAGCCATTATAGCTAAACAGAGAGAGAGAGAGAGAGAGAGAGAGAGAGAGAGAGAGAGAGAGAGAGAGAGAGGGAGAGGGTATGAACTATGAAAGATGGAGATGAGGTGAGGAAGCGTTTAAAAAGGTGGCAAAGCAATAGGGGGGTGTGGGTGTGTAAGAGAGATGTTTTTGGTTGGCAAAGTATGAATCCAAAATACAATCATTTTGCCATGCCGTTACTATGCGTCAAAACAAAAACGGATAGCCTAGGCTATGCGTATTCAAGGGCCCCACAAGGTCACTCACCGACCCCATCTGCCCTAATACCACCTGATACCCAAAACCAAATTACCCTCGGCCCTCAAATTAAACCCATTTTCTCATTTTTCTTTTAGGATTTTTCAACAAATCTGAGTAGGTATTGGTATAGGAACTATGTATTAACAATCCTTAGTAATTGGTATTGGTATAGGGTCTCTGAATCAGGGATACGATTTTGCTCGTACTACTTTAAAAGAATTCGCCGTTATAGTAGTTCTGTACTGGACATAACGTTTTTAAAATCATTTTACATACCTTAAAAGACAGAATGAGAATAACGCTTTCAATATACCATAAGTCTGTTATACGTAAGTACCGGTAAGGATAGCTACGTCTTATTTTATTAATGACGGAAGACAAGGCAGTGTATCCGGCACTGTTTGATACTCAAAATTACGTGTCGTTTTGATATCGTAGCCTCCAAAAGATACTACTAGTGACCACTTATACTCTTTGGATTAGCATATATGAAACCACCACTTAGTTATGAGCTAATGAAGTAGTGATTAAGTTGAATACTGTATATGTCTAAACGAAATTGTGATTTTTGAAATTAAGCAACTCAACCTTTGTACTACTTCCATCAAATTTTCTGTTTTCCTTTGTCAGAAAGCGGATACTTTACCTAATTTATAGGTCGGTGCTCAAAGTACGCACATAGAAATGCACTTTGTTTAATGCGTCTCTATTTTGCTCACCCGATTATCTCTATAATCAATTGGAAAAGATGCGAACGTTACAAAAGTATGTAATGATTGCGTTCGACTTATTATTAAAAATATTGTAAGAGTATTAGTTTCTGTAAATAATTTGTCCAGAGACTGTTATAATAAGGGGTTTTAGGAAGCTTTATTATATATAAATCTAACCCAACAACGTAACTAAATCTAGGCGAATTTAAACAATCCAACTTGGTCAGGGCCCAACATGTGTTTTTCCTCTTGATTTTGGTTTTAGAAATACAGTAAAACCTCTATATTGCCATAATGTTGGACTAAATCAATTTTATAACTTTAAGAAGGTTATTATTTAATAAAGGTGTAGTTAAAAAGAAAATTATTTTTTGACTTATCCTTAATGAAAATTAGATGGATGCAAAGAACTACTAGTGGAGCGTGTCAGTTTTCAAAATATAATATTAGAAAAAGAAAGGCATCAACTCTTTAAAATCTAGTGCTTGTATGTATGTAGTGCTCTTTAATGTTTCTCTGTACACATGATTGAGAAGCTAGAAACATTATGGCTGCACCAAGAAGTTGTCCATGTTGACGAGGTACTACGTATCTGCAACGTGGTATCAACTTTAAAAAATAACTCATTATCCCAGATAATTAAGAGAAATATTTTAGTTCATCGTAAACTTTTATTTGTGACATTGCATATTTTTGTATTTATTAATTGACAATTATCGTTACATGCAGGTGAGATTCTTCAATAATAGACATAGAAAGATGACCTATTACAATGCAAAGTTTATTCTTATCCAAAACTAGTCCAAGTTAGACAGAAAATTTTTATAACTGTAAGAATGTTATTTCTATATAGATAATTACTATAGATCAGAGGTTTTATTGTAGGTGTAATTATATAATTATATTTCAGAGTAAATAAATAATTTGGTATCCAACTTAGTATTCACGAAATTTAAACTTAAAACATCTCGATTTCAAATAAAAAGAATATCATTAAAAAGAATGCGATTAAACTGTAGTAATGAGCAACATTAATATGTGCACGTTAAAAAACCCTAAACCCCAATGTATTATATACAAGTTTAGAAACCCGCCTCTACCCATATGAAGATACACAACTGAAGAACCCAAGGAACCAAAATATGAAGAATTTTTCATCATCAGCATAGCATTGATTTCAGTGACAACGACTAACAAAGAAAAAAAGCACCTGTTTCTATTTTTATTTTTATTTTTTTGAAGGAGAAGGAAAACGGAGTTTTGTTGCTTAGGAAACCAGGAAGAGATTGTCGTGTAGTGCTTTTGAAATTTATAGGGATCAAAACTCTGCAACTGAAAGACAAGAGGCAGCTAAGATGTCTTACTCACGCAACACGTAAAAAGCTACAGTTGCATGCAGCAAAAAACAACGCATCTGGATGGATGGTAGCTTCTTCTTCCATCTTCATAATGGTGATGATGATATAGTTGAGGAAAAAAGTGGAAGCGTAGTCATAATTTACCGGTAGAAACTGCAGAATTTGCACAATTAGGTTACTCTACAGTAGGATTCTCTTTTTTTTTTTTTTTTTTTTCTTTTCTTCTCTCTTATCTTATTTGAATGGTCACGATATGCCACGTTAACATCTTATATTATTTTTTTATAAAAAAAAGAAAGACAAAATAAAAAATCTGAGAGAAAAAGATAAAAGATGATGGTAATAAAACGGGAGAGAATCCTAATCCTACTCTGCTTAACTGGCTCAGCCATCCCTATATGATATGTGCGTTATAAGTAATTAGATATTATATAATAGTTAGTGCTTCACTCTTCAGTCTTCATGAACATTTAGAGCATGATTACGACGTATACAGATTAATTTTTTATGTTTTTTGTTGTTAATCACTAGAAGTAATTAAGCCAAAAGCATTTGTTTCAGTTCCATTAATTTGTTTCATCAGATATAACCTTACATAATTTGTATTGTTTTCGTAGTTGATAATCTTGCATAGTTTATACTTATGAAAATATGACTTTGAACTCTCAATTTCAATTTTTTTATATAAAACCTTACATAAATTTTTTACTCAAAAAAATCCAGTGACTAAAATCTATATAAGAAAATTCATTAATTAATATTGTTTTACCCATTTTACATTTTTGAAATGCCTAAAAGATTCCTAAAGCAGATGGTAAGGAGAGAATAAATGATTTTGCAAAATTAAAAAAAAAAAAAAAAAGATATTAATGTTAAAAATTCATTGCATATTCAAAGCCAAATCGGATTAATGTCCCTATAGTGATATGGTATTTGAAAGATAGCACTATGGTTAAAAAGTTAGGATTTAAATCCTTGTCATGAAGATTATTAGCAAATTTAACCAAAAATTTGATTTTTGTCAAATCTCAATTCAAGTTGGGATAAAAATGTCTAACCATACACTTTCTTTCAATTCAATAAACCATGTAATAAAGACACTGGAAAATAAAATAAAATAAAATAAACTTTCTCTCGTCTTTAGTTTGTAGCTCGCGAAGAGTAGGTCAATTTGTTCCCAACCTTCTGGGTATTTCATTTGGTTAGTCATTACCTTCGGCATTTTCTACCTGTTATCAGTGGCAACGTATAAGTTCAAAAAAGTTCAATCCGAAGCAGCAACAGATTCAACAAGAAAAGAAGCCGTTTCCAAGAATATATTAATTAGCAAAAATCGTAAATGAAGGGCGCCAGCACCGGACCCGGGAGTTGAAACTGGAGCTTTTAAGCCAATTTTCCCAAGTCGAAAGTGTAAGATCCCACATCGGCGGGATGGGGGTTGGTCCATGGCCTTATATGTAAGATCTCACATCGACCAACAGAGAGGGGGTGATATGCCTTATATGTACATGTTCCGCTCCCTATAGCACGAGACCTTTTGGGAACTCATTGGCTCCGGACCCCATAAGAACTTCAAAGTTCAGTGAGTCTGGGGATAGCAATCCTAGGATGGGTGACCCCCCTAGGAAGTTCTAATGCCGAAACCCAAAAACAAAACCTTGAGGGAATGGTAAGCCCATAGCGGACAATATCGTGCTACAGCGGGGTCAAGTTGGGATGTGACAATTTGGTCCCTGGTCTTATATGTACATGCCCATCTCTTCCTAGCAAGATGCATTTTGGGAACTCATTGGTTTCGGATCTCATAAGAACTCTGAAGTTAAGTGAGTTTGGACGAGAGCAATCCTAGGATGTGTGACCTCCTAGGAAGTTCTCGTGCAGAAACCCAAGAACAAATCCGTGAGGACATCGCCCAAAATAAGCAATATCTTACTATACGGATTGGGATGTGAGAATGTTCATATCAATTTTCAAATTGAGAACTATACCAAGTCCAACCAGGAATTCCCAAGCAAGGATATGAATATTGTCCAAAAGAAAAAGTACAAAATAAGAACAAACCCTAATGTAGTAGCATGAAATCTGGATAATAAGATATGATTTTAGTTTCAAGATCATTATCAAAAGCAATTAGCTAGGAATGAACTCCTAATACAGTTTCTAGAAACCGACAGAAAAAGCTCCTTAGAAAACAGGGTACAGGCAATGCTTTTATTGCCTCTTCCAAAGGTTCAGATGATTCGAAGGACACAATGGAGTCACCGGCCATGGTGTTGTGATAGGGTGGTTGGTTGTGAGTTTTGTTTTTGTTTTTGGAAGGTGGGCTGGGTGGATTTAACAAAAAGAAGGGTAAAACTGGAATTATATAGAAAATTTCAATTATAGGGTGTATTCAATAAATTATGAGATGTTAATAAAACAACTCTAATTGAAAATGTGATTTTTAAGTCAAATTAAGCAACTCAACCACGTACCGTACCACTTGCATCAAATTGTACTTTACATAATTTAAAAATCGGTGCTCAAGGTAGAAACGCCCATACGAATGTACTTTGTTTAATGCGTACGTCTCCATTTTGCTCAAACAATTCTCTAGGTGACAATTGAGTTCCCCATACCCTTCTAAAACCATTGAAATAAGAAATTGCATGTGTTTTTTCTTTTAAAAAAAAAATGAATCAGTGGATTCGTCACACTAATCTACTTTTCCGATAAAAATATGGTAAGAGTTACTTTCTATTAATTTGTTAGGCAGCTTCATTATATATAAATCTGACCAAACAAGGTAACTATATCTGGGCTGATTTAATACAATATAGAATCTGTTCATGGTCCAATGTATGTTTTTTTTTCTCTTAATTTTGGGATTGATTTAAGAAATCCTAAACCCTAATGTAATGTATTTAAGAAACCTAATTAATGAGCCAAATATGAAGGAATAAGTCTCACTCCTAAGTGCAAATAATATCGTTTGTTAAACAAAGCTACTCATGGTGTGCAGAGCACTGATTTCATTGACAACGACCAACAAAGATTAAAATAAAAACTTGTTTCTATTTTTATTTTAGAAAGGAAAGAAGAAAGGGTTTAGTTACTTCTCTCTGCCTCTCTCTGCCAAGTCCTAAACCTCATATCAACCACCACCACCAATGGCGGAGCCAGAATACTAAATTTGGAGGAGTCTTTAAGTCATATGAAAGATTGTAATATAACTAATGGGAGAAAATTAAAAGTTTTATTTATTTATTTATTTTGTTTTGGCATGGAAAATTTTAATCAAACAAGAATGGTAGAGCTTTAAATTTTGTATGAAAAACCTAGTATTGAAATGATTATATCATAAATCAAAATTTGTTTATGAGCTTTGATAAAAAAAAAATTAACGCATTAATTACATTCGAACAAAAATTTAAGGTCGTTACTTAAAATAAGATTCTGCTCTAGACTGTATAAGCCTTTGTTTTATACAAATGGCTAAAAAAGGGGTATGATTTTTATATGTTAAAACATAAGGCTTTTAAAAAACTAATAATAAAATAAATAAAGAGCTTAGTTTAATATGGTAAAAAATAAGGCAAATTATAAGGGCAATTTTATTCTTTCAATTTAGAAACATCTAAAAGATTGCAGCATACCAGCAAGTCTCGCACCATGGACGCTTGGAATTGCAAAATCCCACTAATTAATGAGCATTCTGCAAAAACTTGCATAAAGTACATACAAATGGCTGAAATTCCAGGATAGGCCTGGCCACTGCTGGGCTCTATGTGGCTCCGTCATTGACCACCACCACTTAGCTCTTTCTCTCCCTTCTTACAAGATCCATCATTTGAATGGATCACGAAGGATGGAGTGGGCGGGTCGCAGAGGAAGATGTGAATGGTTCGAATAGGATGGGCCGTGGGCGGGTGGCAGTTGATTTTTCTTCTTCAACTGATTCACTAGGGCATGCAGGTCTGCATCTTTGAGAATTGCAAGATCTGCATGCAGGTCATCTTTTTCATGAATTTCAAGATCCGTATCTGATTCTTCATCTTTGGGGCATGCAAGCTTTTAATCTCAATTGTTTCTGTCTCATTCCTCATCTTTATGGCACGCAAGTTTGATTCTTCTTCATTTTTTTTCCGCGTGAATCTTAACTTTTTCCGTCTGATTCTTTAGTAGTGACTAAGCTCATGACTTGGGAGGAGCAGAAGGGGCCGAAAAGAAGAAGGGTATAGAGAAATAGATAGTGGCAGACAGAGAAGAGTAGGGAGAAGCCGTTTGTATTACAAATGAATTTCATGATTTGCTTATCATATTGATACAAGATATATACAAATCTATAGTTGACTTTGTACAACATAAAAGGTAACTAATAACTCTTGATTATTTACATAAATAATATGGAGAGAATGGTGGGATCATGTTTTGACAGCAGATGTGGTGGAGAGATTTGTGGTGGATTCAATACTCTTGCCAAAGGGAGGGGAAGGTGGGAGGGGAAGGTAGGATTGCCATTTAAAAACTTTCATTAAAAGGTGACTGTCCAAAAAACGCATGAGACTCTCTCTGGTTTCCTAACTTTGCAAACATCCTTGCCGCCGGCCCTAGCCTTTGGCTTGGGTGCTGGTGGCTACCCTTGTCCAAATCTCCTTGTTCTCCTCTTTCCCTCTTTCTCCTGATCTCCTTCTCTTTTTTTCAATTTTTCCTTGAGATTTGTCTCACTTTCCTTGAGCTTTGTCTCAATTTTTTCATGAGTTTGTCTCACTTTTGGACTTCATGTCCCTTCTCTCCACCCCTCCCTCTCCTCTGGCTGTTCTTTTCCAAACCGAAAACTCCATCTCCCCTCACTTTTTCCCTCTGCTTCCCTTCTCCATAAACCATCCCCACCCCGTCCTTTGCTCTGATCTATAGACTTCGGGCCGAATATGGTTGCTAGATTTATTTCCCTCCCTCACTATCCCTCTCCCACTGTCCCTTTCCCAACCAGCATGCCGGATTTTCCTCGAGGCCAAGTGTACTGTGGTTTCAGCCAAAGTAAGCGTATTTTACATACCCTCTTAGCCTCACCTTCTGTCCATGCATGTGCTACTATGTTTGTATATATTTGCAGGGATTCGTGAATGGAATTTGGATCTGGTGACTATCTTTTTGTTCGACGTCTTTGGTGAAGAAATATGGATGTGGTGTGCTCCTAGTTACAGGTTTGGTACTTTTGTGTTCTAATGTCTTGGTCGTTTTCACCACTCGGTCGTTTTCTCTAGTGTTGCTGCTTCGATAGCTGCTGGTAAGACTTTCGTGACAATGACGGCGACAGATGCTGCTTTTTGCAATCGGAGATTAGGGATTTGGATTTTCGTTTTAATTTATTTAATTGGGCTGAGCTTTTATGTATATGTTTCCCTCCAATGTATTTGGGTTATTTTCCCTTCCTTTGTGTTGGCCTATAATCTTCTATCAGATTAATGAAATTAACTTTTCAAACCAAAAAAAAGGTGACTGTCCACCCATGTTTTAGAATTAAAAATTGCTTTTTGAATAGCTGCTTTCACTTTTCTAGAGTAGGATTCCCTCCTCTCTTAATTTCTCTCCCCTTCCCTCTCTATCCCTTCTCTCTTACTTGAACGGTTACGGCTAAGCCATATCAACATCTTATATTGATTTTTTTATAAACACAATAGACAAAAAGTAAAGTGTAAGAGAAAATAAGAAAAGGAGATGAAAATAAAAAGAGAGAGAATCATACTCCTGCTTTTTCACTTTTCCATCCGCGTTTTTGGAAATAAGCGCCATTTTTTTAGTTACCAAACATATTTTTTGGCCCTAAATAAACGAAGTATGATGTGTTACACACGCCACACGTAAAAAAGCTACAGTGGCATGCAGCAAAAACCATAGAGTATGGATGGATGGTAGCTTCTCCTTCCTTCTGTGGTTATGTTGATAAAGTTAGAGGAAAAAAGGTGGAAGTATAATCATATTAAACCAGGAGAAACCGTAGAATTAGGTTACTTTACCTCACTGACATAACCATCCAATATGATATGGGCATTTGTGTTATTCATATTTATTTTTATTTCTCACTCTTTTCAATTTTTGGTCATTGTATTTAATGAATTGAAGAAAATCAATGACAACAAATTAATAAGGGTATGTGGAAAGTGAAAGTGAATGTATAAATAACATTAGAGTGTGTTTGGGTTTCTTGTCGAATCTAATTATTTTGTTTTTGAAAAAGTGACTGAAAATAAAAATAAAAAATAAAAAACTGAAAATGATATAGCTATCAATTTATTTTGAAAGTTAAAACACTGTCAAATTGAATACCAAACAGAAAGCGGTGTTTTCCAAAATAAGTTTCACATCAGATTTAAATCAACCAGTATTTGGTATAAAATCGAAAAAGAAGTGGCAGTGAAAGACAAATAATTAATTCTTTCTGTGTACTTGGTGCATATGGAAGTTACTGAGTGAAGAGATAAGGCCACAAGAGAGAAATTTAGATCAGGTTTTTTTTTTGGGCCTGCAGCAAACCTCCTCCTTCTGATCGGACAATTTTTATGCGCTCCGGCAGCAGCATTTGTGCCAGTTGGAGGGGTTCTCATGGATTGTAATGCACATTGGATCGAGGCAGCGCCAGGTTCTCAATGAGAAATGTTTTAAATGTCATCGATACTTGGTATTAAAAGTTTACGTGTTAATATGAATAAATAACATGATTATTGATACATTATGGACTTGATCCGGTAGCATAACATAATGGATTAGTAATACTAATTGTACATACTCAAAAATTTAACGTGGTTAAGGTTAAAAAATTATAAACAAAATTCCACGACCATTTTCTTTTTATGCACATTCTTGTTTATTTATGCCCCTTAATTCTACTTTAATTTATTCAATTCAAATATCATAATTATCCACGCCGTATGTGAGCACAAATTGGCGTACAAAAATCACTTGTAAGAAACTATATTCGTGATGATATTTCTAGTTCCAAACTCAAGCCTTCCCGCCTTCCCGCCTTCCCAACCAGATCATAATTCATCCAAAGATGCTTCCCTCTTCAGACAACCACAGCTTCAAAGTAGCACCATATTTCCAAACTCAATGAATCACAGAGAGAGAGAGAGAGAACCCATCTCTGAAACTCAAATTCAACAAATCAGCTGATCGAATCGACAATTTGGTTAACCATAAACGAGAACAAAATATGAGATTGCGACGGCGGCGACAATCTAATATAATCATGCGTTGAAGTTCAGTAAAATCAATGCATGTGACAAGTAACAATGAACATGAAACAGTCAATCTTCCAATTCAGCAAAGGCTTCATAAATCCAGAAACATTATTCAAATACATTCATTATTCTCATAGTGATAAAAATAAAAAATAAATAAAAAAAAAATAAAAAAATAAAAAAGGTACCCTTGGCCAGCTGATATATAAATCCCTTCATGACCCACGCAGCAAAGTTTCTTCTTTTTATTTTTTTCCAGTGACGGCTGGTCTTTCCGCTTTTTATGAAACCATGCAGTTCATGCACAAATAAAGCTAGTTTCAGACAAGGAGGGAGGACTAGATTCTCCCCCAACTTTCGGGTTTAATGATACAGCAGCAAGAAAATCAAATTTCAGGCTTGGACATCAATGGTTTTCCCTTTCAAGTAAGCAGGGCTGTTGTTTTACAAATCGGGCACAGATTCTTCTGCATTAGCCATTGTTTGATGCAGCTGGTGTGGAAGTCGTGCCCACAATCTAGCGTGCCGATAGCATCCTCATCAGCATATACCTCCTGCCATGATAAGGATTCAAACAAGGGAACAAGAATAAATAAATCAGCTGCTTGAAGTAAGCGAAAGCAACTAGCTGTGTTCTTGTGCGGATAGAGATAGTCACATAGCTCATACCTGACAGACACAGCACGGTTCCATATCTGCTGGGGATTCTTCTGAAATAGCAAGAAATTTTCGCTGTTTCATGCACTTCATAATAGTCTCCTCACTCAGTCCAGTGCTAACATCTCCTATACGTTCCCCCAATGCCAGCAGTTCCTATTGTCCAAAAGTACTCTTATTAGAACTGCTCTGAAACAGAGAAAAAAAAAAAACCTATGGAAAAATACTTGCCCCCGTTTTACCTCGTAAGACATGTTATCAACATCAAGGCGCATGTCTCTGTGCCTGTCATGCATCTCAGCCATGCCATGATATATGAATGGGTCAAAGAGCATATAATCCTGACATCACCACATGAATCTTGATTGTCAACTAAATGTAATCTGCTGTATTCAGCAATAAGACAAGCTCCTTTCCCATTGTTCAACAAAAGTATTTAACCGTAGATACTAACAGAAAGAACAATCAAGCCTGTACCTACTCATAAACATACCCAGATGCTTGCAGCTTAATTATGCTGCTCTTACAACCATAACTTTCATCTTGCTCCCCAACTCGATAATGTTTTCCCACATACCATTTAATCCACCCCATCAAATTATAGTCCACTTCATGGAGATCGCAGATGACTGATTATCCAGATATTTTATATTCTTACTCAAGAAAAAGTCGTAATGTTATGCTGATGCACAAAACACCAATGTCCAATGTGCCGCACCAAAAAAATTGGGGGCGTTGAACAGTAGAATAACCAGTATTCCATGCTGCCTTCTTCTAAAGACATACTTTTGCTACGTTTGGATGTTAACTTAGTAAAGCAGACAGATCTATTGCAAACGGGCATATATGATAAACTGCCTACCTTCACAACATATCAGAAGACTGTTTATGTAGAAATTGTTGTAGTAAATTCATTTCTAATGGGCTTTTTTCATGTCACAGCTAGTGTACCCATTACTCAAGCTAGTTTGTGTACATGGTGGCAGCTAAACTGTCACCAGATTTGGCCACAGAAATGGCATAAACGAAGCTCAGTGTCTTCTATGGAGTTCAAATGTACTTATGGAGAATGGAAAATCTAATTTTAAATCAATCATAAAATATGACAGCCGCTGCATCCAAGATATCCAACCTTGTACCTCCATGTTTCCGTACTTGTCAAAAGAAAATGACTGTCAGCCTAAGCCAGCTACTAAAACAGCCTTTTGCAATTGCAACAAAACATATAAACTAAAAGTTAAAGCAAACAGAATTAATGTAGAGGTCAATAGCAAACCTCGACGCGTAAGTTCTCACCCCTGCGCATAGCATTCAAAACTTGACGAATCTGGTACACGAGAAAATTATAATTGTTAGTTCCAGAGGGAATGATTCTTTTGTAAAATCTAGTGGAAATAGAAGAACAAAACTTGAAACACTAATGCCATCGTATCACTAGTCAGAGGCAAGAACCATTCAGTGGTATCCAAAATAAATCCACTCAACCCCATATCCAACCATAAAACTGATCCTTAACGTGCAAAAATACCAAAACAGTAAAGAATAGTTTAATTTTCCCAGTCAGAGGCCAAAGATAAGTACAATCTGCTTTAATGTAGCAGTACAAATTAGAATTAGCTCCATAAACACATAAAATGTTATTTTACCATTAACGCCACCATTTAGTACCCACTCAATGCAGTGCGTATTCACTCTGGGAGTTTCACCTTACTTCAAAGATAATACTCGTAAGAAAAAGAGAGGCGCCGTTATGACCCCTATTTATTTACCCAGCCACCTTGTTTTGCCACCCCCACAAAATTTTGTATACTATTTTTATTTTAACTAAATTACCCATTATTCCTACAATATCTCTAACTTAGCAACTCAACTACCCACCATATAAACACTTTTTGTAACCTTCAAACTTTATCTTGATAGCAGATGACAGTGCTCGCCTTTAGCAAAAAAAAAGGCCAGTATGTGTACTGGCTTCTTGTAAATGGTCTCCTTTAAAGTAATTTTGTGAAATGCTAAATTTGTAATAAAAGTTACCGGGTGGGTAAAGTAGATTGGGAGGTTGAAATAGAGCTCCTCAAAAGAAAAGGGACCACTTTCACAGCAGAAGTATCTTATTTAGGAAACACAAATTGAAAAGTGGAAACTTAATACCTTTATTGTCCATCAACAACTGTGGGAATATGTACAATATTATAATGAGAAATTTTTGCGTGAATACTCTTATTCAAGTTTAGCATGCAAAAAATTTATGGGGCGAAAGATTTCAGTAACTAAGAGACATTTCAAAAATGTATAGTCAGACTCTGAAATCTGAAAATCCAAATGACAAAAGCAACTGAGAAAAGCCATTGCAAAATTAATTCCAAAAATGTAATATCCATGATATACACCCTCCAAAGAGTACATGTACGATGAGAGTGTACTTGAAAAGTGGGAAGAAGAAATAAAAACACAAACCTCAGATATAAGTCTGCGCCTCCCTTCGATGTCGGCTGCCAATACCCGCAGTGACTGGGGCATATTAAGAGCATCATCACCTTGTCTGTCCAGCAAGAATGCTGACCTAGGATGTGGTAGATGACGACCCTGGTTATTAGATCCAGAAGAACTTCCTGAATCTTGTGAGGAAGCAGGTCCTGAAGGTACTGGGTTATAATGACTATGACCTCCGGGTTGAGAATCAACAGAAGGAAACAAAGACCAATCTATTGTTCTTTGATGATTTTCGGTAGGAGGGTTATTGGCACGGATCAATGCAGGAGTAGGCACAAAACGAATGACCGAACTGGAGCCAATTGTTGAAGAGGAAGGAGCACCTACAGAAGAGCTAAATTCTCCAGGGGCCAGACTCCAAATTGTGGGATCCTGTGCTGAATTTCTCATATCAGTAGCAGTTGCAAACGTCGAATGCTCGACAATGTTTCTGGGAATGCTTCTTAAGTTTGATTCTTCTCTTAACTCAGCACCTCTATATCCAGACATAAGAGAACTTGATAAGCTGCCCACTCTTGAACTGGAAGCACCAGTCCAAGGAAAAGGAAGCATGTCTACTGACGAACCACTCATATGCATAGCAGGAAACTGGCTTTGGGGACCGACCGAATTTGTTGCAGCTGCAGTTGTTGATCTCCCTTGTGATGATAAGTTGGATGGAGCAGATTCTTGCTGAGGCCCAGGACAACCCCCCCTACAAAAAAATTCCCGCAGTGAGCTTGCTCCATTTCCTGTTGCACCTAATGAAGGAAACGTATCAGATGTCCCAAGTCTCAAACCAACCCTGGTTCTTGAGCTTTGTTCTGAAGGACACCCACTAGGAGAACTACGCAAGGGTGTAGATAAACTTAAATTACTAGGACTGTAATGAGCAGGACCAGTATTCCATGCACTAGTTTCAGCTTGTGGAAGGGAGCTAGAACTTCCACCAGCATAACCCTGGCCTGAAGTTCCCTCAAGGGCCTTTCGCTTGCACGATAAGCCCCAAGTTCCAAAAGAAGAACCTGCATTACCATCATTTTCCTCAACCAGAAAATCAGTGCTTCTGGATGAAGTCTCAATAATATCAGGCGAAACACTGCCAGAAGATGTCTGTTCTGTTTCTAATCCACCTGACATATCAGCTTCCATGCCAGGCGCACTATTACCACCATTTCCCACATACGCAGAATTTATATTTGCATTTTGAGAGCCCTGAGAAAAAGAAGGCCCGCCTTGAATCTGATTGCCACTTTGTCCAATACGAGCTCTCCCAGGAAAAAGGATATTTTGTTCAACTCGTCTTTCTTCTGAACTTTGACCAATAACAGGACAAGCACCATACGGAGATGACCAACCTTCTTCCATTTTCATCCCATCATCGTCCACTGGGTTTCGTAGATTCAATCTTGAGCTAGGTTCACCTGAACCACTCAAGTTCTGGGTGTCATTACTAGAGGCATTTAAACACGGAATCTCACCAGATGTCATCATATAGCTTGACAACTGGTTTTCAACAGGATTTAGCATATTATTTAAAGAAGTCTGCTGATTCATACTAGTGCTGTTGGAGAGAGATCCAAGCCCAACATCTGTGATTTCAAGGAAAGTATCAATACCACTCCCTTGACCTTGCATTAGTGTCAACAAATGCCTGACTCAGAAGACACTATAAGGTATTCACAGGTGGTTCAGATAAAACACTTGTGTGAAAGATCTGGAATATCAACGCAATGCTGGTACCCTGAATGTAACAAAACAAAATTTTAAACATTAGTTCAAATCCATTTTTACATAATATAGCAAGAGATAAAATAGGATTCAGATTTACTAATGGAAATAAGATGATATAAAATCAATTCTTTGCATTATCTGCATGCCTTCAACTGAAAACCCTGACCCTGGAAACTGATATAATAATAATAATAATAATAATAATAAATCAATATGATGAATAAAATAAGAAGGTGCATGAAACAATGGTTCTGAGACTAGTGACGTGCAGATTGGTCATTCAGGAAGATGTAAGCTCACGATTAGCAGAGCAATTACAGCAAAATACACCTCAAATGAAACAGTATGAGAAGTTCAACAAGGGAGGGTAGGACAAAGTAAGAATCAAAAGACAATTAGAACACAGAGAACAGTCAACTTATTCTCAATCGATAATCTTAATTAATTTATATGCCAGAAATCTAACCCTCTTACAAAATAGCATCTTAAATATCTAAAACATTATAAACCCTTATATAACTAGTACTATACTTTACAAGTAAAAGCCAGTTGACCATCAATTCTAATCCACATTAGTAACTTGGTAGAAACTAAACAAGCAGCTTCAAACTTGGAACATCGACAAACTTCTCCCTCTAGGATGTCATAACCTATAAGTTTTGTCTAAGAACTCTCAGCCTAGTTTACCTCCAATATGTGAACTTTTACTCAGTAGTTTAATCTTGTGATTCTTACACAATCAAGTGTGAATTTTTTAAGTAAACAGTATTAATGTGCTCAAGTCAATTCAGTTTTGCACCAAAATAAAGTTGAACTGGGTCTGGTTGACCATAAAAGGATAACCACCTCAATTTTGTCTATCAGACCAAGAATCACGTACCCCACCTATTCTCAAGCTTACTCAGGCAGACTTAATTAATGAAAAGAATAGGTCGGAGCAGGTTAGAATCTGGTTGAACTCAATAAGACTAAGTCAGCCTCAATTTGCAATCTGGTCACACTCTAGCGAAACTGATCACTCAACTGCAGCTTGGCGGGAATCAGGCAAGCTGAAGTAACTCTCTCTATTTGATCAAAAAGACTAAATCAAATGAACTTAACTTAATTTCTAAACACTCTTGCTTATGTCTAACTAATAATGAAAATCTTATTCCAACGTCATTAGACTCACTCAGACCATTAAACAATCTAAGATTATCAATGCCTCTCCAAACCCAAATCTACAAAAGGTTCTAATTACTTTATCCAACTTCCGTCGTAATTAAGATACTTATGCATGTTAAATTGACCTCCTTTTTTTTTATTGCTCAACACAGGAAAAGCAAGATGAGAGAAAAAATCCTTATATAAAGGAGAGTTTCAGAACACCACACACTACTTTCACACTGTCAATTGCATCCCTACACTCAAATGGCATCTCTATTCAACTACACTCAACTATTTATATCAAATTATGTAATGACATAACTTCGATGCACCATATAAAACAAAGTGGTGCGCACAACATGAAGAACAATTGTTACCACTACAACGAACATTGATTTTCCAGTGATTCAGGGTGTTTTGTATACCCAACGGAATGTTAACACGACAGCATAAAGAAACAAGAGAAAGGCAATTTGGTAAGCCGAAATGAGATACAGAATCATAAATCAAATACCACAAAGCCGTGAGTTAAAATTCAAGAACTGATATTATAGCAATCAATCAAATGTTTAAAGCAACAATGCAAACAGCGTTAAACATCTGTAATCGTAAATGCTGCTAATGCAAAACCTCCAACCCATGATATGCCTAGCCAAGTAATTGATCGGCTCACAAAACCCAATAATAAAAATTGCAAATGAGAAACTTGGGATAAATCGCCCAACCCATTTCTTCAACTGGGTTCGAATTTTCAGCATACCCAACCCAGGATCTTTGCAATTCTCGCCAAAAAAGCGGACCAAATTGATTTCTTTTCAAATGATTCGACCCAACCCCGGAAAACAAACCAAACCCAGAACGCACAATTACCAACTAAAATCATGGTCATTTGGGTCGGTTCCGATCCTCCTAATTCTCTCCAATTCGGAAGAAATGAAAACCACAGAAAGAAATTAAAAAAAAAAAATTGAATAAAAAATGGAAGATGATAATCCAAGGAATTAATGGTGGTAAAGAATGAGGAAGAAGAACTACCGGAGGAGATACTGAGGAGGATGAAAGATCACAGATGGAAGTGGCAGGATCAAATGGTATGGTGAGAAAACGTCTCCCCACTCTCTCTCTCTCTCTCTCTTTCTGTGTGTTCTGAGTCCAGCTGAAATTTCTTCTTCCTTCAGATACTGGTTTATATTATAATATAAAATTAATTTACTGCGAAAGAGATAACCGAAATACGACAAAGCCCAACGGATGAGAGAGAGAGAGAGAGAGAGAGAGAGAGAGAGAAAGTTCAAGGAGAGAGACTAGAGAGAGAAATACTAAGGAGAGAGATTAAGGGGAGAGAAGAGCAATGCAAATGAAAGGGTTAAAGGGTAACGTTAGATAGATGAGAGAGAGAGAGAGAAACGTATTAGAGAGAGAAAAAGAGTGATGTAATTAAATAGGGTGATGTTAGGGACTATCTATTTAAAGTATATATATAAATTCGGTAATGGTAGAGAGATTAAATGAATGTCTAGATTAAATTTTATAAATTAAAAGACGTGCAAGATGAGCCATTTAGTACTATGAGCTATTTAGTAATACGGTCTAGTAGTATTCTTTTTCACTTATAAGTGAGAAGTCTTAGGTTCGATTTTCACCAAATGCGAATTTGAATTACATTATTGCTACCTCATTTCTGAGGCTAAGCCCACCCGTTCCCCCTTATTGTAGATAATTTCATTTGTTAAAAAAAAAAAGTGATGTGCAAGATGATGATTGAATTGTTACTTAAGTGTTGATTAAAGTGCTTATTTTGGTAAACACGTCATTTAGTTTACAAATTTAGTCTACCTAACATTACTCTTGTAACTTATATGGTTTACATAGGTATTTTTTTTGGAGAATATTTTTGTTCACCATTCTCAAGTGACAGTGATGTTCATTATTTTATTTATCACCGTTGAATGAGTTTAAAATTTCAAGATTTATGTAGTGCATAGACACAAAATCTCAAACTTTGAATTCATTCATAGGGTGGCAGAGTTGACCCTGGCTTAAGACAACCAAGGCGACCACTCGACGCCCCAATAAACGAGGGGCACCAAAAAAAATTATGTTGGTTTATATAAGTATAAGGATTTGTTTTTGTTTTAGATAAATAACAAATGTTCATCACAGTTATGGATATATCTTGTATGCTAAATTGGTTCTTAGGTTCGATTCTCATCAAAGATGAATTTGAACTACATTATTGCTAGCTCATTATGAGGGTAAGCTCATCTCATTCTCTTAGTATAGATAATATTATTTGTTAAAAAAAAAATTGTGCTGTTTTTATTTTCGTGCCCACCCAGGTTCAATTCCCTCTTAACATAAAGGGAACAGATCTCCTCATGAGCTCAGAAGGTTGAGCCTCCTGAGTAAATCACAAATGTTCTTCACAGTTATGGATATATCTTGTATGCTAAATTGGTTCTTAGGTTCGATTCTCATCAAAGATGAATTTGAACTACATTATTGCTAGCTTATTATGAGGTTAAGCTCATCCCATTCTCTTAGTATAGATAATATTATTTGTTAAAAAAAATTGTGCTGTTTTTATTTCCGCGCCCACCCAAGTTCAATTCCCTCTTAACATAAAGGGAACAGATCTCTTCATGAGCTTAGGAAGCTGAGCCTCCTGAGTAAATCACACGGGTTGTTGGATTTTGATCCAACGACTACAAACAGGGGCCCCTCTAAAAGTTATAATAATTGTTTCCGTTGAATTTTGTATGTGATTTGCTCAAGAGGCTCAGCCTCTTAAGCCCGGAAGGAGATCCATTCCCTAACATAAAGGGGTTAGTTTTTTTTTTTTTTTTTTTTTCATTTTTACTTTAAATAACAAAGAAACGATAATTAGGTTATTAAATGTGGCATTTTTTAGTAGTGGTTATTTGTTTTTTTTTTTTTTAAGTTTGAATTTGCTTGCAAAATCAAGTTCAAGTTTGTCTAAATATAAATTAGGGATTTTTTATTTATTGATAATCTTTTCATGTTTAAGTTAAATAAAGTGTTGCCACTTAAACTATAATCTAGTGGTATTCATCTTCACTTGTAAGTGAGAGGTCTTAGATTCGATTTTCGCCAAAGGCGAATTTGAACCACATTATTATGGCCCACCCATTGTAAGGCTTAGCCCACTTCCCTACCCCCTTAGTGTAGATAATATTGCTTGTTCAAAAAAATATATATTAGATAAAGTGTTGTTATTTGTTTTTATTGAATAAAGTGTTGTTATTGGCAATCCAAATATATCATCCTACACTTCTTCGTATAAATATTCCCATGTGATTTTATAGATTTTGAGTTGGCTGCGCAACCTTTGATGAGAGCTCGAAGAAAGAAAAAAAAATAGTAGTTGGATTGCTATATGTGGCCTTTGGTAGTAGCAGTTTTTTGTTTTCATTTATAGCTCACGTATAAAAATTAAAGATTTTAAAATATGAAAATTTCATTTCAAAGGTCCAATAATGTTCACCCTTGCACCCCTGGTCTCATATTCAAATCTCCTTCTCTGCAGTTTTGACGAGTTTAATGTAGATTATCCTATCCTTTGTCCCAAAAAAAAAAACGATAAGGTGAAAAATGTTATTCTTTAAGGGAACTATTAATAGCACTCCAAAAATCTCATTTTACACTCTTCACAAGTTTATTTGTCTTTTTAAATATAGAAAGTTTAGAGTGCTAGTAACAATTCACTTCTTTAATTGTGATTGTGTAAATCCTAGATAAATTTGGTTTCTAAATTATCTATTGCTCTAGTTATTCTTTCTATATAGGCACTGCATAGGAAAGACTACATACAAGAATCCCTAAGCATTCTGCAATCTCTTCACTCTCTCTCTCTCTCTCCCCCTCTCCCTCTCCCTCTCTCTCTTTGAGGCACCCCTTCTCTTTTCCTCAGTTAAATATAGGCTACAACGCGGTATCAGCACGCTCCTATGTTGCGCTATGGAATCTAAAGGGAAATTTCTAGTACAAACCGGTTTATCAATATCATCACGCAATCCAGTTCTTCCAAAACAACGATGTTTATCTCGATATTTTTTTTAACCTTAATTGCATAAACCTTCACCATAATGCATGACACAACTCTATGTTTTACGAATTTTAAATTCTACATAAATAGTGCATGCATTATACTCAAAATATTACTATTATGTGAATTTCTTTTTGGTTTAAAAAAGGGGCTAAAAGTAAGAGCCCAAACAAACCTACTCAATAATAAATCTAGACCGGGACATCCTAAGTCGATCCTCACAAATAAAACTAATTGAACAACGAGGAGTATCAAAATAAAAATGACCTAAATCTATATCAAGGTTATAGGTCGCTAAACTGTCCGCCATAAAATTGTTTTCACTATAGACATGTTGAAATTCACATTGCCAAGATCTTAAAAGCAAATATCAACATGCCAACACAAGGGGACCTAAAGGATGATTATTGCCAGCAGCTTGCAACACCAAATGAACTGTGATTGCAGAAACTGATTCCACTAGTAATTCATCAATTCATAATCTTCATGCCAATTGTAAGCCCAAGCAGAGATCCCATAGCTCAGAATTGAGTATCTCACTTGTGCCCAAATTGGTGCAAAACCCAGAAATCCATTTACCATCAGAATCTCTCCAAACCCCACCTGCTCCATAGAATTATTACTTTCCTTCTTGCAACCATTAACACTAATATTAAACCAACCTGAAAGAGGAACTTCCCAATGGAGCAAAGATTCAATCCTATGTGGTTTATCAACCATCAACACTTTTAAGTTAGATAAAGTGTTGTTACTTAGTACTACAGTCTAGTGGTATTCATCTTCACTTGTAAGTGAAAGGTCTTAGGTTCGATTCTCACCAAAGGTAAATTTGAACCACATTCTTATGGCTCGCCCGTTGTGAGGCTTAGTCCACTCTCCTACCCCTTTAGTGCAAATAATATTGCTTGTTAAAAAAAAAAATAGATAAAGTGTTGTTATTTTTTTTTTATTGAATTCAGTGTTGTTATTCTTTTTTATTTTATTGAATATAGCATTGTTATTGGCAATCCAAATATATCATCCTACACTTCTGTTGACTCTAAAAATTACAAAACCTACGTGGCGCGCAGGCCGAGTAACTAATAAGCTAACTACGTCCTTTGGTTGAATGCGAGGCGTTCAACTCGTCGGCCGAGGAGTAAAATTCGTTGATGTCGCATTGAGCGCGTTGTTGACTTCTTTATCTTGCGACTACGACCGAGGAAGGAACACTCTCGGTCTTCGGGTTCTAGAGCCTGAAGATGAGGCTGCTAGTTCTGCGGAGTTCACAAATCGTCGGCGCCCGATTCGGTCACTGTGATTATATTCGTAAGAGTATAGGCACGTCGACACCAAACTATACGGACACAAGTACTCAAATGTGATGTATGTCTTGATGGTGAATGTAGTTCGGCCGTCAGTATGCCGAACTCTGAAACTCACTTGTGAGTATCCAATCATAAAATCACTCGGCGTCTAGTACGCCGAATAACATAATTCGTAACACCTTACTACGCCGAGAGGGCTAACAAGGTGACCTCTGCCAACAAGGATTCGAAAACCCTTCTCGGCCGAGACTTGGATAGGTAACCAGTCGGCCTCGGCGCAGTGCTGTTTATCCAAACTGAAGGTGCTTCTCGGTCGGCTGATTCTGCGGCAACAGTGCTGTTTATCCAAACTGAAGGTGTTTGTCGGGTGCCTCCATAGTGCTGTTTATCCAAACTGAAGGTGTGTCGGCAGAAAAAGAAAAGGAAAAATCTCAAGGTATTTGAGAGGCTTTGTGCAGGGCAATTGTATGTTGAATTGAAGGTCCCTTTTTTGTTGTATGATTTCTTGTATTTATAGCACCCATTCCTTGAGACCGAATCGCATGCCTATCTGGATTGGGAGTCCTTGTCCCGTTCCAACTTTACTTCGAACAAACCTACTCCCATTAGGACTTTGAACTTTCCCCTCTTCTGAGGCTTTATTCCTTGCTGGCTAGGAATCTTGGTTGCACCAGGACTTCCTCGACCCTTTTTGTTTATCTGGATTACTCCTTCTTAGGATAGGACTCGACCGACCCTGCTAACTAGCCCGGAATCTATCACTTGGCCCATAGCATTTGACACAGCCTTGGGCCGAGCACAACCCTCTGCTCGGCCCAACAATATTATTTCGTGCCCAAACAACTTCTTAATATAATTTTTCCCTTGTGAT